CAGTACGAACTGAAGATCGTCCTGTACGATCAGTATAAATTTTATATGATCTCCTTATGTGTGTGTATATTTTTATTCACTCAAAATACAATCACTCCCTTTCAATTTGATTTCTAAGAAAAGTGCAAGCTTCAAATTTTACAAAATATCGCATGCTGAATTTATTTTGAAGTCTTCGTAGTCTGGAGTTCGTTTTTCCTGAAATGTCAGTACACACAAGAGCAAATACAATTCTTCTAAAAAAATGTTAGGAGATAACTACACATTTGAACAATAATGTTTGGAATCATCAAAACTTCATAAGTTGCAAAAATGTAAAGCATGCAAATAGCAACTATCTTAACAGGAAGGACTGTAGTCGGTGGGAAATATAAGTCAAAAGAATCGTAGTCGGTGGACGATAGAGGTAGGAAGGATTGTTGTCTGACGATGGAGGGCAGAAGGATGGCGTCAGGTGGAAGTCCAACAATGGACAAAAGGTGGAAGTCTAACAACAGGCAGAAGTCCAGCGGCGAGTAGAAATATGATGACGAGCGGAGGTCCGGCGTGAGGTAGAAGTCCAACGTTAGTCGGCAGTCGGGGAGAATTCCGGTGCTAGATGGTATTCATGCAAAACTCCAGAGTTATTTGGAGATCAGACAGAGTTTCGATGTCACTTGGAAATAGGATGGAGTTTCGGTGTCACTTGAAAATAGGACAGAGTTTTTGCGTCACTTGAAAATTGGGCAGAACTTTGGTGTCACTTGAAAGTTGGGCGGAACTCCCACGTCACTTGAAAGTTGGGCGGAGCTCCGACGGTGGCTGAGGAGGAGTTTCTTCCCCCCTTCTCTTCTTCTCTTCTTTTTATTCTCCCTTGGGTCCCCTCTTAAGAGAAATGAGAGGCTATTTATAGTTTTCTAAGAGTGGGATGACCCGTAAATAGGAGGATCAAGGGTAAATGGGGAGTGGTTTGGATGGATGCCCGATATTGAATCCCTTGATCGTGGACCATTTGTCAGAAATTTGAAGGTCTTAATGATATTGGAATTCGGCAATCTTGGGCTCGTTGGATTCGTCTCGTCGAGCCACTCGATTCGACTATAAACATATCATGTTTTAAAACTTTTTGGTAATCCAAATTGTGGTTTTAACCTTCCAACATCGCTTCGGGTCTTGGATTCAGACCAATTTGGGCTAGGATTGAGTTGAATTTGGTGTCGTTGGGTTCATATTTCTGAGACAAACAATTCGACTATAAGTTTGTTGAAATCGGAGTTCAGATGATCCTAGATTTAATTTTTTAAGCTTCCCACATGGTTTTGCTTCGAGATTCATGTCCGATCACCACAATTTTTTTGATGATATATCAAATAGATTTGTTAAGTTTTTCATTCGGCAGTCTCTGCTTATGGGCACTTTTTGAATGTTTTAATCAATGGGCAATTAGAAAATTAGATTCTTTATTTAGCATCAATTGTATGAGATCTTAAATTATTTTATTTCTGAATGTATTGAAGATCTCATTTAAATATTAAATGCTTAGCTTATGATGACTTGTAGATTTTAATTCCCGCATATTTCGAAAAGATTAAGGTATTTTATAAAAAAAAGGCCAAAATTTAATCTAATATAAGCTATTTCAAAACTTAATCAAACACAATTTTAACCAATATAACATATTTTTGGATAATCCATTTTATTTTTTAAGACTATAAATACCAAATATAATTATCCAAATTTTAATAAAAATATTTATTTTAAAATTTTATCAATGCATACAAAATTTAAATAAATAGAAAATTTTTTATGATATTCCTTTTATTTTATAATACAATAAATAGTTGAGATCATTATTCAAAATTTAATTAAATAAGATTTATCTCAATATTTAACCAAGCAAAATTTTAATCCATTTAATATATTTATGACATTCTTTTTTATTTTGTAAGACAATGAACAGTAGAGCCTATTATCACCAAAATAAGTATTACTGATATAAAACCATTTTTTTCTTGAAAATAATAAAAATATTTATGTATATTACATGCTTAACATTCAATTTAGAAGTAGATGAATAAATCAATAAATTTTAAGAGAATTAAAATATTTTAATTAATTTAAGGTATTTCTTTATAATATATATTTAAAATTTTATCAACGTCCACTATTAAACTAGTAAAAATAAAATTTTCCAGATATTGATGTGAATTATAAAAATAAAAAACTATAAATATATATAATTTTCTCTGGCCGGTTTATTACTCTTTTAATTTTAGAAAGGTTTTCGAAAACGTAAGCTTTTCCGCTACCTAAAAAAAATTTAAAATATTTTTTTTACTAGTACATGTCCGTCTCCTTCTTCATCCCAACTTCCCTGAAGTGAAACCCTAACCCTAGTTTTCAAACGGAGGTCAAGTGCTTCTCGAGTTCTCCTTCCACGCTCCTCCTAACTCAATGCTGCTAACATGAATAAGCCCGAAAGGCGATCAGGTGATGCCTCGGGTAGCACCGGCAGAGGTGACGACCTTCCCATCGTTCCAGCCGGAGGCTGCTTCGGCGACGGATGCGAGGCTGTGGAACCGTGGCCAGTTCACCAGGTTCGCCATCGAAACAACGTTTTCCTCCGTCTCTGCTCCTCCTGCGTGTTGAAGTATCATCCGGGCTCCTTCTGCTGCTCTTGCTTCGAAGTTCTCGACTCACCAGAGCGCCCGCTACTCGTCCATTGCTCCAAATGCTCCTCCGTCTCTCACCACAGCTGCCTGCCGGACCCCTCCATTTCCCCTCTCTTCCTCTGCCCGGCATGTGATTCCCCTTCCCCGACCTCCTTCTCCTACTTTCCCTTCTCCAAGAATTCCGCTGACCGTGTTATTGATCTCCGTGCGGCTAAAATCCTCCTCGTGGCCGCACGTCTCTCGGCCGCATCAATGTGCCGGGCGGCATCGCTTGCTAGGGCAGAAGCAGAGAAAAAAGTCAAGGAGGCTGCTTTAGCAAGGAAGAGGGCAAGAGACATGCTTGATAAATCCTTGGTCATCTCTGAGAAGGAGAAGGAGAAGATTAAGGACTCGGTTAGGACTGCAATGGCACCAGTTGCTTTTGCTGCTAGTGCTGCTGCCGCTGCTAAGATGGAGGTGGTTGAGCCGAACAAGAAGGCACCTAGGCCGAGCGCACCTAGGCCGAGCGGCATGGTTATAGCAGGTGCTGTGGTTCAGAAGAGGGCACATAACAGGGAGAGAGAGAAGTGGAAGAGGTTTAATGAGCCAATTGGGATGGTGAACAGGTCGTCACTCTTGGTCGGTGGCAATGAAAATATAAAGGGCCATTTGAATTTAGATGTAAAGGATAGTATGGTAAAAGATGAGACGGAGAAGAATGGGATTGTTTCAGGCTCACCAACTGAAATTGCCAAGCAGGGGTGAGAGGAGTGTTAGAAAAAGAAAAAGGTATTTAGGATACTTCAATCCACTCAAGGTGAACTACAAAGTGGTATTTTAATTGTTAATTTGAGAAATTTGTATTTTACTTGTTTTAGTTTGTTGGTAACGTGAAAATATCTTATTTGTTTTAGTTTTATACGGTGTGAGTAGTTGTTAGATTTCTTGATTTTGATTTAGAATTTACAAATTTGAATAATTGGAATAATCTCTTTTGAAATGCAAGGATAGGACTTCATACATCTAACTCTATGGAATTTGAATTGATGAGATTTTTATGGTACACCGGTTTTTTGTTAAAAAACTTTCTAATTTTTATTTCAACAAGAGCACTAAAAAGCTTTAAAAATTAATTAACTTTAGAACTTTAAAAATCCTTCTTCTCCACAACATACAATTAGTTTTAAAGGCCAACATTCTAGCTATAACTTGCATATATTCGTTGCTAAAAGGGCACTAAAATAACTAATATGTGGGTTCTTATAATGGTAGTAATTTTTTTTTTTAATCTCAATCAACCAAGGTTGACCCAAGATTCTCAGGCGACTAAGTAAATTACAATTTTTTGACTTCCTTATGTTCATTTTGTTGTATTTGGGAGAGTCACATTCAGAAGCCGAATAAATTAAGCTAATAACTTAAACTACATATGCTTTTAGTTCGGGAATATCATTTTCAAATTGAGCCTACCAACGTTCCGATTAAAAAGGCGTTCAAGGCGGACGCCTCGATGCGCGCCTCGAATCGAGGCGGAGGTCGGGCGAACTGAGGCTTAACCCTCGAACGTCCGGGCGAGGCTTACGCCTTTTTCCACGGAGGCGTACGCCTCAATACGTGAGGCGCCGAGGCGCATCGAGGCAGCGCCTCGAAAGGGAGAAAGTTACCTTCAAAGCCAGCGAGCCAACGAGCTCCCGTTGTTTCTTCTTATCAAAATGTCGTAACTTATGATCCGACAGGAAGGGAAAGTCGTCGAAGGAGCGCAGTCGAACAGCCACAAAGGAGCCAAAGAAGCGACGCGTGTAATCTCTACACCTCCTATGAAGCAACGAAGCCGAACAACAAGGACGAAAAGAGAAGATGAAAGGCAAACCCTAGACGCAGCTAAGTTATTATTGATTAACTTAATAATATAATTTAAATATTAATAATTAAGAAAAATTAATTAGTACTTAATAGTATAATTAGTGCATAAATTAATTGACTAATTAGTAATATAATTATTAATTAAATATTAATATAATTAGCCTAGTTAATATAAATTAAAATATATATTATTAAATATAATAATAATAAGTATTAATAATAATTATTGAGTAGCTTGTATCGCTCAGTACATGTTCGGTACCGAGCCAGTACTGCTCGGTACTGAGCAAGTATATGCTCGGTACTGAGCGGTACATGCTCGGTACCACTAGGTACACGCTCGTTACCAAGCCAGTACCACTAGGTACATGCTCGATATTGCTCAGTACATGCTCGGTACCGAGCCAGTACCGCTCAGTTCCGAGCGGTATATGCTCGGTATCAAGCGGTACATGCTCGGTACCGAGCGGTACATGCTCGGTACCGAGCGGTACATGCTCGGCACTGTTAATTACTTTTTTTTATAATTTTTTAGGCTTACGCCTCGATTCGCCTCGAGGCTTACGCCTCGCTTAGCCAAAACGCCTCGATTCCCGATTTCACCTTTTAAAACGTTGATTATTATATATTCAAGTAGGAAGCTAGAACATAAATATATCGAGAGAGTGTGTTTAGTAACATGCTTGAGCTGCTCTAAATTTAAACATTCAATTATTTAAATGAAAATTCTCAAATTGATTCGATGCTTTGAGGTAATCACCTTTAGGAATAAGTTTATCCTTGCATACATATAAATTAGTATTTACATCTTTATCAATGCGAAAATCATTATTATAATGAAATTGAGGGTTTAAATAATATGCAACAACGTGAAGGTATTTGTGGAATTGGCTATCCCACTTTTCATCGTTAATTTTCTATTTTTTTTGTAGGCACTTTCTTGAACGCCCCCTCCCCCTCGAAAAAAAAATTTGCTTATTCTCTTTAGCTTTATTCATTGCTTCATAAATAAATCCTATTGCTGAGATCTTCTCACCATTACCTATTCTTAGCACCTTAATTAAATGTCATGTATCTTCAGAGCATAATTTATATTACATCAGAAAGAATATCTTTAATGACAATCTTCTTCACCTATTTACCTTCTTTTTTTTGACCCATGAACTTCTATACCATTTTTTGGAAGCAAATATAGCTTTTGAGGGCTTTCTTAACACCTTAAATCTTTGCAATGTTAAATATGCAGTTGCAAATCTAGTGACATTAGCCTGAAATATTTCTTTTTCAGTGAATTTTCTCATTAAATTGAGTATCCATGAGTGATTGTAAATAAACTTACTAATAATTTTTGCTTTCAACAAGATAGATTTATGCTATGATCACTGTCCCAATATCTCGAGCATTAAATGAATATAGTGTGCATCACATAGAGTCCAATAGAGATGCTTCCTTTTTTTTATTAACAATATTCCTACACTTTTGTATGCACTTGTTTTATTTGTAACAAATTGAACCACAAAATTCTCTCCTACTTCATCAACAAGCTTATCCAACATTTGAACTAATAGCTGCAGTTGAAGCATCAACATATTTCAGAAATACTGTTTCATATGGATTGTTGACAAAGAAGTTGATGATACTCCTTTGCCGAATATTTGACTAACCCTCTGAATTATTGTCACTCCTAGCTCAACCCAGGTCTGTTTCATTTCATTCACCATCTTTTTGTTGTCTTGATCTCCTCATATAACATCCAGGTTATTAACTCACACTTCAAAAAACAATCACATATTGATACTTATAATTCTAATTCTATTTTATAATTAAGTACAACACATTATTACAAGTTAAAAAAAGTACAACACATTACTATAGGTATATCAAGAGAACAATCAGCCATTACAATCAATACAATTAAGGTCACTATATAATTTCACCTAATAGTTTAATAAAAAAGCATTTGCAATAAATCTACTATCATAATACAAAATGACATTGCAGGAAACGTATTATTAACATCAACACAAAGAAAGGTGAAAAATTACTCATGATATATTTATGGTACTGGACTTGACTCAATATCTGCAAATGTTCAGCTAGTGGAGCATGAATACAGTTTTTTTTCACAAAAAAAAAAAAAACACTTCCAAAATATATGATAAAATGAATTAAAATTATGAACGCACTCCACTCATTATGTACTACAGAAAATACACAAGAAAATGCCTTGAAAAATGAAAGAGAAAAAAAATTATAAGAATGATGGAATGCTGCACTTTGCTACCCTTTGAATGATATAAGAAGAAGCAGAAGCTAAAGAATTTGGTTTACTAAACTTGTACAAAAATAAGGCCAAATGAACAAAAAGTGAGGTAAAGGATTCCTATATCTCTTTTTTCTATATGGAAATTGTAAAAGAGGTCTTAAGTAAGACAAAATTCATCATGACCTAACACTTTATATAATGAAAACATGTGAGAAAATATGACAAAAAATAGAAAAAAAATAACATGCGGTTTTAATAATTCATTATAGTAAAAAGACACTCAATTGAGGCATTACTTGGGTGGCATGCCATCTTCTGACCATGGAAGATGGTTGCTAGCACCCGAGCAAGTATTTATCATTATGCAAATTTATTTATGTCTAACCTTTGTCAACCATAATCCAGCAAATGCTAACATTAGGACAAATAATATAATGTGATTTTCTCTATTGAAATAACCCTTATTATATCAATTAAATCTTTCAATTAACTTCGCAATTTACTTACAATCTAGAAAAACTCTTGATATTGAGATTAAAATTATGAGATTTAATCCATCGTATTATCACACAAAAGAAAGATTGTTACCTTCGGTCCTTCAATTCTTTCAAAACTCTACTTCGCATGAAGCAGGTGAAGCCAACACAACGCTCGAAGTAGGCAAAGCCGATGGAGCACAGGATTCTTTTGAAACTCTACTTTACACGAAGCAAGCGAAGCAGATGCAACACTCGAAATGGAAGAAAGATTGCCACCTTCGTTGCAATCTCCTGTTGGATCAACTCTTTTCGAACTCTACTTTATACAAAGTAGGCAAAGCCAAAGCAACACTTGAAAGATTGAAAGATTTTTACGTTCGTTGCAAGTTACCGATTCAACTGGAGTGTTGTTATTGAAGGAGGCAGATGAACTTCTCTTTTAAAGCTCTACTTCACATGAAGTAGCCGAAGTTGAAGTAGTTACGCCCAAAAAATTATACTTGAGGGTTCTCTTATAATTATTTAAAAAAAATTAACTAGAATGATGCGGTGCTTCTAATAGCCTCGAGACATTATGCCTCAAGGTGTATGCCCCATCTTAAAAAAGTCATAAGCCTTAACACGCCAGAGTTCCTCCTTGAATCGAGGCGCACCTCAAGGTAGATGCCTCGAACGCTTTTTTAATCAATGATTTTAAGAACCATAAGAAATGACATATGTAAAATCAGTGTAGAGCACAAATTTTGTTCTTAAAGGAAGAAAAAGATGAAAAATAGAAGATGAAGTTGTGGAGATTCATGATGACACCCCTCTATCAGATGATGATATAAGTTAGCCTATAGAAACCCAACTCAATATTATGAGGTATTTGATAAATAGATATTACTGAAGATTGAAGAATGAGGAATATTGTTGCCATAATTTTTAAATGTAAGGATATATTCTGCAAATTGGTTATTGATGGGGGTAGTGCCATGAATGTAATATTCACATACACACTGTCAATAGTTCACTCTAAGCCATAACTCCACTCAGATCCTTACACAACGAGTTATCTAAATGACACTTCATTACCCATTACATTTAGATGTTTAGTACCTTTTAAGATAGGTGGCTATGTGCATAATATATGGCGTGATATATTTCAAATAGAGATAGCCCATATCATTGTAGGAGGACTGGTTATTTGATAAGGATGCCATACATTTT